CTAAAAGTTTACAGGAATTACACATTAGTTTATTGTTTGTCTACTAAAGAAGAGACAACAGGCATTATAAAATGTTTCAAAATTTGTTTGACATCTGCCAATGGTAGACTATTTTTCTATTTGGGAATCTGGCTCTTTGGATAAAAGATGCAATTATGTTCTGCCTTAATGGACTGATGAGACAGTGCAATAAAACCCAATTAGCTGCTGAGTCAGTGTAAATAACAATGTAAGGTCTGTTTCAAATCCATTTTTTGGTTTTTTTGGAACAAGGTTGAAAATAAATAGATAAATGAAGAAAAGCAAGTAAATCCATTGTACATGTCCTTATTCAGCTATTTGCTATATATGTTGTAAATGAAATACTTTGCAAACTGAGGATTAAATCATCATACATTGCTATCATAATCAATACATACAGCATCACTATATTATGTTTGAAGTATTATTTTTGCATATAAAACTTAATACTACCTTATCACAAACTCACCTTGTTTACAACTTTTTTAGTATGCAATTCAATTCGATTGAATTCAATTCACCATTCAAACCATCAATTCAATTTTTTTTGCTAAAAAGTATGGCCTCACTTATTGTACAAGTTTACTTCAAAAAGTTCGTGGAAAAATAGAATTGAAAGATAATATTAATCTTTCCATGGACTTATTGAAGTATCTCTATAAGTCTTTTTATTTTGTTTGCTTTAATTGGAATATTTATCAATAAAATTAATTGTAGATCAAACACAAAAAAACATAAATGATAAACTAATATTTAGAACAATTAGTGATAATTATAAGTATTCTAAGGTCTGAGACTTTAAAATAATAAATGAATTTAAAAATTTCTAATAGAGATCTTCAGTTATATAAAATGATTGAATTAGTTTGGCCAAATTTGTGAGTTAAGGTTATGGACATCAGAAGTCTCAGTGCAGAATATAGCATGTTAAAACAAAACAAACAAAAAAAAAAACAAAAACCTTGTACTGAAGAAATAAGTTTTGAAATTTACTGCAAAATTAGACTCTTTATCAATAAAACCTCCATGAGCATATGAACATGTCTGCTTTTGATCACCATTAATTTATATAGCATAATATTTTGCTACATTAAGTATTTGTAGGGTGAATGAATGAATGAATAAATGGTTTCTTTAAATTATTTTCAAGGACCTGAAATTATATTTTTGAAAAGTAATTCTATGCACTGGCTTTGCATTACTATTAAAAGAAATCTGGTCACTAAGAATTGTTCATTTCTTCTCATCATAGCACTGTTATTATGAGCAAATCTTTAACACATTGAAATTGTGTTTCATCAGCCTAGATTCAAATAAAAGTCCTCCATCTAGTCAATAGTGTTCCATCTTCAGCTTGTTGCTTTTCGTATTTCTATTGATTCCATTTTAAACTTCTTAAAATTTAACTGTAAGAGTGGATCAAGGCAAAGAAAAGTTTCTCTAAACCATCAATTCAAAACATTCTAATCAATAATGTAACAATAAAATGATTTAAATGCCCTTTACTATATTTAGAGCCTTTGAAAAAAGTATCCTTTCTTAAGACCTAGATAAATAATGCAGATGCTAAATCCATATTTTCTTCATACAATTTAGTTCCTGTCTTCTGTGGTAAAATTTCTGCTTAGGAGCCAACAAACTGATGAACAGAGATATGTGAAAAATGAATAGAATACAGAGAGATAAGAGCAGAGAGATTAAGAGAATGTCCTTGGGTGTACAGGGAAAGGCACAACTCACCATACCTGAGAAAAGAAAGGAATGGGTGTACAGGGAAAGGCACAACTCACCATACCTGAGAAAAGAAAGGAAGACTTCAAAAAGAGGCCATGCTTTACTTACCTTTTTTATCACTAACCTAAATGTCTAATGCGAAGGATTAAGGAAATAGGGTACATTTTGATAGTGGAATATTAAAAATAACTAAATATTATTAATAGTGTAAAATTATCACTAACCTAAATGTCTAATGCGAAGGATTAAGGAAATAGGGTACATTTTGATAGTGGAATATTATGATGGCATTAAAAGTAATGTCTTCCAAAATTTTTAATGATATAGGAAAATATGTATGATATTAGTATAAAGGATGCAACTTAAAGTTTTTTATACAGAGCTCAGTTATATAAAGTAAATATGCGAGCAAAAAATACACACTAAAATAAAATTCACTGTTCTGAGTAATGCATTACAGGTGATTTTCATTTTCTTCCTTACATCTTTTTACGTTTTCTAAATTTTGTAAATGAGCTTGACTTTCTCTTTAATGTGAATAAAATGACTTTTGGTTTTGGGAAGGGGAGAAATCTTGATGAAAATTGTAGGTGAAAGAGAAAGAATTTTACCTTTTGTATGAGAGAGGACGGGACAAGAACCTTGGGGAATAACTGTATTTAGATTAGAAGGTGAAGCCATAAATTGAGAAAGAGAAGAGTTGAGAAAGAATTGAGAAATAGTACAGTAAGAACCAGGGGCACATAGTGTCACATCCAAGGGAAGATGGTTTGTTAGCAATATCAAATGCTACTGTGAGTTCAAGAGCAATGAAGATTGAGCAAATCTGAAATCCATGGCATATAGAGATACAGAGGTCAGAGACTGAACACTGCAAGTTGAAGAAACCGTGGCTCTATGAGAAGGGCTTTTTAATTATAAAAGACCAAAATTTAGGCAATTTGATTTAACCTCCTAGGGATATTTTGTCTTGATTTTATTTTCATTAAATGCTGGTAATATATGTTTATGTTAAAGTAATACCAACATTCAATAAAAATGAACCAAATGAGACATATATTGTCAATATATATTACCATTATCTGTATACAAAAATACTGAAATATATACACATATATACATATGTATGCATATATATATGTTTACATATATGTATGCGTATATCTTAGATCCAGGCTGGAAAACGTAGCTCATGCTAGGTATTTCAATAGAGGGATTTATATGGGGAATGAGTCAAACAGTTGTAGAAAGGTGACACAGAGTAAAAGCTATTGCCATCCTCAGGGCTACAAAGACCAAAGAAGGTGGTATTAGACAAAGTTAGGAGGTGGCCCCAGCAGGAGTTAAAATTAGAAAAGAGATGAGACCGCTGCTGTGGACATCCCCCTAGAAGGGGAGCCATACCCTGGCTGCTGCCCTTCCCCTGCCCTTAAATCTCCCATCAGTGCCTCTCAGTGGCCAAATGTCACAGAAGCCAGTTGGCAAGTGAGCCCGGGATGTGTGGTTCACCAGAGTCAACATACCTGAGAAAAGAAAGGAAGACTTCAAAAAGAGGCCATGCTTTACTTACCTTAAAATAACTAAATATTATTAATAGTGTAAAATTATCACTAACCTAAATGTCTAATGCGAAGGATTAAGGAAATAGGGTACATTTTGATAGTGGAATATTATGATGGCATTAAAAGTAATGTCTTCCAAAATTTTTAATGATATAGGAAAATATGTATGATATTAGTATAAAGGATGCAACTTAAAGTTTTTTATACAGAGCTCAGTTATATAAAGTAAATATGCGAGCAAAAAATACACACTAAAATAAAATTCACTGTTCTGAGTAATGCATTACAGGTGATTTTCATTTTCTTCCTTACATCTTTTTACGTTTTCTAAATTTTGTGGAGAAAAAGGAGGCTGAGAGGCGACATTTTTGATGGACTAAAATATTTACCCAAAGACTTAGAGGGATTACTTCCATGTGTCTTTTATAACTAGGGGGGTAAAATCTTGTCTTTCTCTGATAGCAGAACCATAAAGTAGATGATGTCAGAGAGTAATTTACTCTGTGATTTTAGTGTCTCATAAAAATACTTCAGTTGTGTTCAAAGGCACTTTGCTGCAGCGGTTTTTACATGAAATATTTGCAAAATGAATTGACAGGTCCAGACTGTCTTACTGAAAATATCTATGGCACTCATGGATTTAGAATTTAAGGTTTTGCCTCATAAGAAGCTTCAAAATTAATTTTGTGAGTATAAAAATTATATTTTTCAACCTATAATATGCTTTCTATAGAGGAATTAAAAGGTTTATAAAATTTAACATTCAACAGTAATTTCTTTTGTGGAAGAGTTATAATTATCACTAATACATCTTAAACATCTATTCATTGCTACTACATACTTCTCTTACTTATATTTAGGTTATTAAAATGTACTTCCAAGTTAGTTTTTTAAATGTATTTCTCTTTTGTACAAAGTCCAGATTTAAATTGATGGACCTATAATACTGGAAACTTGGAATTTTTTTTTTTAATTTCCTGGTTTTTAATCCCAATCTTGCTCTCTATATAGGGGACAGCACAATTAATTTCTGAGGAAAAAAATAAAATATTATTTATCAATGTTGCTAATTACATGTATTATGAGCTTGAATTAAACATATCTGAGAGCTCATGTTTCCATTTAAAAGTTGAATTTTTTCATTGCAGACGTTTGGAACAGAACTCAATCAAGGTCATCCCTCCTGGAGCTTTCTCACCATACAAAAAGCTTAGAAGAATGTGAGTGAACAATATTCTAGAATATATGTAAAGTTAAAAATTGTGCATGTCATGACCATGCAAAGAAACCCAAGTATGAATATTTAAGCGTTTGACAGCCTAAATATTAAGTGATGGGGCTATCTAATTGCATTCTATAATGATATTTTAATCTTAATAACTAAACTATGCAATTGTTAAAGTTCTCTGTAATTTAACATATTGAGCCATACAAGTATGAATATATGTGATTAATATATTATGCAAATTCTTAGATGTTCTATTGTCAAAAGTAAGACATGACATCTTTAACAATAATTTAGGAGACTAGCCAATGGTGGATTTAAAAAGTGTGATTCTTTTTAAAATTCAGGGTTCTTCAGATCTTTTATGTTGCAAATTTTATATGTGCATTGATAGGTGAAGGTCATAAATATCTTTCTCCTGTGGTAAACCTCACTGACATTCTATTTAATTTAACCTAACCCTATTTCTAATCTTAGTGACCTGAGCAATAATCAGATCTCTGAACTTGCACCAGATGCTTTCCAAGGACTGCGCTCTCTGAATTCACTGTAAGTACTCACTGCAACGCTGAAGGAGAGCAGAACCCACAACAAAGACTGGCTGCATTTTTTTAAAAAAATTTGAGCTTAAAAAAAATACTCTTAAATTTTTATTATGAATTATGAATCATATTATTATTAATCATTAATTAATTCTAACATTTTTGGAGGACTGCTATCTTTCATTCAGGTTTGCCAATTTTTAGGAATATATATTTTATGGTTCGATAATTTTGCTATTAAGAGAGTAAGAGTAAGTGCCCCTTTTAAAAAATATTTTTCTTTTGAAATAAAGGGAAAATGTTTATTTTGGAGTGTTCTGGGCAATGCTGTATTTGTAATCTCGAAACTACTGTGTCTGGGGACAGTCTCTGCCCCCTTTAAACTGAGGCTGGGCGAAATCTTGCTGAGAAGTTGAAGATGACCAATGCAAGCCCCCTCTGAACAAAACAGCTTTAATCTCTCAAAGAATAAAGATAAGATAGTTTGACAGCTTTTTAATGTCAAGAAAACTTTCAGGGAGATAGCTATGTAAATTAAAGAAGTCCTAAAGTAAATTTATAAAAAATGTTATTCCTTTAACCCTGCAAAACATCTTCAAAAGTCCACCAAGTAAAGTAACCTTTATATCAAATTTTAAAGTTTGAAAGTAGAAGCTGGAGTGTGTGTTTTCTTTTTTAAGAGTTGATGTTCAGAGAAGGGTTCTTATTGATGTAAATTCCTGCTGAGCTCTTTCAAATTTCAGAAGTCAGTGGTAGCTGTGAGAATGCCAGGATCCACATGTGTGGGGCCCAGATAAACACTTGGAGTTTGCAGAGCCATTTGTGCTCTCTCTTTCCAAACGGAGGCCTAGACTGTAGGGCCCATCTGAGCACCTGGGTGTTCAGGTTGCTATGTTGTTCTGTTCAGAAAACTACAATTTTCTTTAAGGAAAGAAAGTGGAAAAATATCATTTTACCTTCAGTGTCTCTTTGGGTTCATTTTTGCTTGTGTGTTCTTTGTTTTTTGGGGTTTGGACTAGAGGAAGTCCAAGACCACAGGAACAATTGTTGGCTGAAGATGTAGAGAGTAGTCATATATTGCTCTCAGGGTAGATTATCAGGTTCTAAAATAACAAAGTTCAATGTAAAACTCAGTTAAATCACCCAGTCAAATTGTTTGTAAAGTACTGTTAATGTCATCCTGGCCAGTAATATTATCCAAAGTGAACACTGACAACCTCCCAGCTGTACAGGTGGATAAAACAAAAGTCAAGTCAGTATAATAATTCCTGTTTTTTCAAGTATCTGTGTCTCAAAGACAACCACCAAATGTCAAGAAGGAGAAAAATCAGTGGAAAATTCTTATTTATGCCTGCTTGCTTGCAGAGTTTACTATTAAGCTCTATTGCCTTAATAATGTTTATTGACACTTGCATGATTTTGAAAATCAAAAGAAAAGGTAAAAGGAAATAATAAAGTAAATAATAAATAGAACCTATTATAATTTATCATTTATCTCAGTAAATTACATTTACATTTTAATAAATATATAGTTGTAATTAAGGATTTTATCATAAATAATTGTGTAATAATCTATATAAAAATAGGAAAATAATAGCAAATAGTAAAAGAAACGATCACACATGTAAAAGACCATGCCTACTGAATTGGAATCTAAATCTTCCTGATGAGAGCTCCTCCACACACACTGCTTTTGGAAAACAGTAGGAAAGCATCATCTTTCCTTGTGGAACTACACCTTGGTCAGGAGTTGAGTCACTGGGGTATTTCCAGTTCAAAACACAGCAGTACATAAAAGACTAGGAACTGCTTTTCGGAAATGGACTACCTCCATAATGCCCTATAATGTTTCATAACAGATCAAATACTAAGCCACCTTAGAGAAAGTCTGCCTGGTATAACTGGTATCATTTTCCAACAATTAATTAATTCACCTCCTCCATGAAATACAAAAGACTAGGAACTGCTTTTCGGAAATGGACTACCTCCATAATGCCCTGTAATGTTTCATAACAGATCAAATACTAAGCCACCTTAGAGAAAATCTGCCTGGTATAACTGGTATCATTTTCCAACAATTAATTAATTCACCTCCTCCATGAAATACATTACTACACAGATTTGCAGTAGCCCTTTTCTTCGTTTAACCACAGTTCACTGTTCAACAGAAAAGTATTGTGTTCCTGCCATGTACTAGGCCCTATTCAGGCTCTGGGGACACCCGAGTGAACAAAACACAAAATCCCTCCCGCCTGGAAGAGACCAGTGATAAACGAGCTAGACTGGCGACACGTATAGTGTACCCGGTGATGAAAAGTGCTATGAGTAAAAACAAAGAAATAACAGGGATAAGGAATGCTGTGGTAGGAGGGGAGCTGAAATTTTAAATAGAGTGATTACATCAACATAGGCCTCCCAGGAAGGTGATATTGGACAAAGACCTGAAGATTCGAGTTATCGGAATGAACTGCATGGATAGTGCAGGTGTAGGAAGAAAGAGCATTCGAGGCAGAGGAACAGCTAAATACTAAGGCCTGAGGCCAGAGGATGCCAATTGTTTCAAAAATAAGCAAGAAAAGGATCAGTGTGACTAGAGGGAAGTGGACACTTGAAGTTGAAATAATAAAGAGATTGTTGGTAACAGCAAAGGACACTATTGTGCGGATGGAGGGAAGAAATACAGTGATCTCTAGGTTTGCTAGAAAAGAATCATGCTTACAGTGTCCAGAGTTAAAATCTTCCAGAGGGGGGCTGAGTGAGTTGGGAGTGTGTAGATGATTACAAGAGCCATGCAAGTAGGAACACTTCTTTTTTACATCAAGTTTTTGCTTATACAGGTTTCTCTTACACTTTATTTCAATACCATGCCTTTCTGGAACTGTACACCAGTACAGAGACAAATTAATTTAATCAGTATATTTTCTAAAAAAGTGAAAATATTTAAGGTAATATGATGCCAAATATCTTTATTGCATTTTACTTAAAAAAAAAAAACAAAAACAAATGAATTGTTATTTAATTACTTAGAGAAAATTGGATTTGATTTGCCAGGTGTGTTTTAAGACTTCTCTTATTAAATGCACTAATACTTATTGCTTTTTATTAATGTTTATTCTGTTACATGTTATTATAATGGTATATACTTATAGTATTATATGTTAATATATTGTTATATAATATATAACATATTATTAACAAAATATCTTCAAAACACATGCATCCATTGAATCATTACATCTTCAAGACTTNTTTGTAAATGAGCTTGACTTTCTCTTTAATGTGAATAAAATGACTTTTGGTTTTGGGAAGGGAAGAAATCTTGATAAAAATTGTAGGTGAAAGAGAAAGAATTTTACCTTTTGTATGAGAGAGGACGGGACAAGAACCTTGGGGAATAACTGTATTTAGATTAGAAGGTGAAGCCATAAATTGAGAAAGAGAAGAGTTGAGAAAGAATTGAGAAATAGTACAGTAAGAACCAGGGGCACATAGTGTCACATCCAAGGGAAGATGGTTTGTTAGCAATATCAAATGCTACTGTGAGTTCAAGAGCAATGAAGATTGAGCAAATCTGAAATCCATGGCATATAGAGATACAGAGGTCAGAGACTGAACACTGCAAGTTGAAGAAACCGTGGCTCTATGAGAAGGGCTTTTTAATTATAAAAGACCAAAATTTAGGCAATTTGATTTAACCTCCTAGGGATATTTTGTCTTGATTTTATTTTCATTAAATGCTGGTAATATATGTTTATGTTAAAGTAATACCAACATTCAATAAAAATGAACCAAATGAGACATATATTGTCAATATATATTACCATTATCTGTATACAAAAATACTGAAATATATACACATATATACATATGTATGCATATATATATGTTTACATATATGTATGCGTATATCTTAGATCCAGGCTGGAAAACGTAGCTCATGCTAGGTATTTCAATAGAGGGATTTATATGGGGAATGAGTCAAACAGTTGTAGAAAGGTGACACAGAGTAAAAGCTATTGCCATCCTCAGGGCTACAAAGACCAAAGAAGGTGGTATTAGACAAAGTTAGGAGGTGGCCCCAGCAGGAGTTAAAATTAGAAAAGAGATGAGACCGCTGCTGTGGACATCCCCCTAGAAGGGGAGCCATACCCTGGCTGCTGCCCTTCCCCTGCCCTTAAATCTCCCATCAGTGCCTCTCAGTGGCCAAATGTCACAGAAGCCAGTTGGCAAGTGAGCCCGGGATGTGTGGTTCACCAGAGTCAACTCGCTGGGGTACAGAGAAGAACAGAAGAAGAAAAGGGGGATAGGAGATGTTTATAAAGACATTTATATGGAGAAAAAGGAGGCTGAGAGGCGACATTTTTGATGGACTAAAATATTTACCCAAAGACTTAGAGGGATTACTTCCATGTGTCTTTTATAACTAGGGGGGTAAAATCTTGTCTTTCTCTGATAGCAGAACCATAAAGTAGATGATGTCAGAGAGTAATTTACTCTGTGATTTTAGTGTCTCATAAAAATACTTCAGTTGTGTTCAAAGGCACTTTGCTGCAGCGGTTTTTACATGAAATATTTGCAAAATGAATTGACAGGTCCAGACTGTCTTACTGAAAATATCTATGGCACTCATGGATTTAGAATTTAAGGTTTTGCCTCATAAGAAGCTTCAAAATTAATTTTGTGAGTATAAAAATTATATTTTTCAACCTATAATATGCTTTCTATAGAGGAATTAAAAGGTTTATAAAATTTAACATTCAACAGTAATTTCTTTTGTGGAAGAGTTATAATTATCACTAATACATCTTAAACATCTATTCATTGCTACTACATACTTCTCTTACTTATATTTAGGTTATTAAAATGTACTTCCAAGTTAGTTTTTTAAATGTATTTCTCTTTTGTACAAAGTCCAGATTTAAATTGATGGACCTATAATACTGGAAACTTGGAATTTTTTTTTTTAATTTCCTGGTTTTTAATCCCAATCTTGCTCTCTATATAGGG